TTGTTAAGCAAAGGGGATTAAAATAGGGACGGCTCGATAGGCACGTGTGGCTGGGGATGTCTTAATCAATAAAGTTGATTCTAGCACATGCATCAACTTGGTAGAGAAATGCATATGATCGAAAATGAACAAGTGAAGTCAAGGGCATATAGTGACAGTCGAAGAGCACGGCCGAAAGGAAACCCAACGAAACGAAAGAACATAGACTGGACAAATGGAAAAATGACGAACTCCATGACCCTGTGCCGTTCCTAAACCTTGTTTCCATGTCATGCGCTCTGTGTGCCCACCGCGAAGCTCCGAGTTCGATATATAGAGAGTTGCATCATTACCCTGCATGAAAATCATCACGTCGTTGAATGTCATATCACGATCAAAGATTCTTGAAATGCTCCTTCGCATATTGCTCGCATGCCTGTTTATACACAATGATTTAGGAGTTGGACACCACGCAAGTTGGAGGAAGATGTGACTAACTTTGGCGGGCTTTCCAACTTTCTGTCCGATGACCTTCCACTTATTGGCTTCATATTCTTTTATTGCCTCCCGTAGGGCAACGGACTGGATGGTGTCAACGCGCAAAGATCATCCAATAATTTGTCAGGCAGTACCTCTTCTTCCGCGAACTCAGCATAATGCATATCCTGTGTTCAATGTAAGTACCATGTCTGAGCTCATGGGAGTGAGGGCACGCCCAACCTTGTACCAGTGCTTTTTCACACTCCCCTCAGTTCGTGTGGGGAAGGTCTGCAGGGTTCACAAAGGAGCAAAGAATCAGCGAAGCCAGTTTCAATATGAGGTAGACAATCGGGACGAACCTTGGCAATCTCGCTCCAGCTGCGACCCGCGTCGCGCATCGTCTTGAGTCTCTGCTCTTCCTCCGCCGTCCAGGGCGTATTGGTCCGTCCTTTCTTCTTTGGAGCCGCTTCTGGGGCACTTTGGGGATTCTGTGTTGCATCCGCCGAAGCAGAAGTGACTGGTGCAGCCATGGTTGCTGCGGCACTTGACTGGGGTGAAGCACGGCGTTTGCGGGAGTTCTGAGGCGCCACCTGAGCAGGAGGTATAGGAATGCCCTCGTAAGCAGGGACTCTCTGGAAAGGGTTGATTTGTTGCTGTGTTAGGAGTTGTGGTGGTACGCTGGTGGAGACAGATGTCTTGATGCGCTTGGATGTTGGAGGCGACCTGGTCAAAGAGAATGAAGGGAAACTCAATGTTAGTAAGTGAGACGTGCTCCTTTTCCCGCCATGAGCGGGAAGCGTTCCAGGAGAAACACGCATATAGCATGCACATGTATACCCCATGTGTATGGTGTACACGGAAAGGGAAAGAAGGTCTTCTGCTGCGGCGCAGGATAAGAAACAGGTCACTTACGACATGTTGGAAGATACGCCGCTGTCCCAGTCACGCTGCGACGATTCATCTGTCAATACACATGCTTAGGAGATTAGCACATCTGCTACTGACAGGAGTTTGTGTAGATTGGCCGTCAAGTCTAGGGAAGTGGGCTCTTTTTGTTACACTAGACGCGGTGATGACACGGGCGCATCCCACAGTTTGGCGGTAGCGCCGCAGGAAAGGAAGGAGGGAAAATGAGCGAAGGGCAGAAAGGAGCGACCGGAGGGTGATACATGCATGCATGCATGTACTGTATGTATGCGATTAAGTCAAAAAAAGGGAGTGCTGGGATGGAGTGGGTAGGAAATTGAGGGTTCAGAGGGGAGAGTAGGCGTGGGAAGGGGAAAGAGAGAGGGATGTATAAACAGGTTTAGGCACAGTCACAGGAGTAGTTCTCTAGCATCTTAGGATACATTGGCTGAAAATAGTACGGACTGACTCGATGTTGTTGACTGGAGTCGATGATGATAAGACACTCTTTGTCAGGACCCGGTGGAGATACAAGAGGGAACGGAGAGGAGTGTGAGATCAGAGGTGAGGGCTTACTGATCGTCAGAGTTCATTTTATTGGTATCTTTATCTTCAAGAAGAGTAAACGAGGGGAAACATCAGAAGTATTAACCCGAGCTGAAGAGTGGGTAATAGTAATAGTTGTCAGTAGCAGAGACAAGTTACATTCGGAGGTTGAAGAAGCAGCTGTGGGAGGAGGAGTAGAGGTAGGCTGACGAAGTGATCGATAAACAAATGGGGGAGAAGGGAGGGAAAGAGAAACAGAACTAATAATGGGAAGGGAGCAGTAAGAACCAGCGATTCAACCTTCTCTGTAACAATGCTAGACGCCAGATCCAGTAACCGTCAGCTAATCTAAAAGTACCTTTGAGCTACAGTACCTAGAACCAGGTAGGTAAAGTACGTCAACCAGCTACATTGCATACGTCTCAAAGATAGTTGGTACTTGATGCATTATTCATTGTCATACTTATAAATCGAATTATCAGCACGCTACGGACAAATCACTAATATTTCATGAATGAATAGGTAAGAGATTATAGGTACCTTTGGCTAAAATTCAGCGGAGGCGTTGAAGACTGTGATAGAAAAGACCAGGGGAGCCACGAGAATCCATTCTCCATTCATACTTTATCATTCATTCCCGCTCAGTCCGAATCCACTTATTTGTTTTTTCTTTGCCCTCTGTCTTTGGACAGTGCTAGCCAATGAAAATCAGATGCTGAAAGAGGTCATTCTCAGAGACCGTCACTTGCGTTGCTTGCATCCCATCAGAGAGCATTTCTGTTCATAATGTGATGACTCGAGCCTGGGACAGGCTCTCGTACCATGTGAGAAGAAAAGGAGGGTTTGGAACTGTGCTTCATACGGCAAGCTACACCTAGTAACTGCAGGGTATGTAGCTCTCTCACATGTCCAAAGCAGGGTTGACGACTTCGTGCTTTGTTTCAGTAGATAACTTCATATTCGTATAGAAATAGTGATCCTTCCTCCATAGCCTCTGTGACCTCATTTCTACTGCACAGGCTTCTGCTCTTTGCAGAATAAAAGTCAGTCATAACAACAAGGCCTGCTTGATTATACCTGGGGTAATAACCACTTAGATGCTAGGCAACGAACAAGCCAAGACAAAGAGGAGGGGAGGTGGCGGGATTTGTCCTGTGCAAGTTGCGATCCTGTAAACTACTAGTAAGAGAGGCGGCAGCTACATTCGAAGAATAGCAGGGGGCCAGTAATACTTTTGTGGACGGCATGGCCCAGCTACTTTACTATCTCTTCCCGAGGTGACAGAGATAAAACAAATAGATGACAGGGACTCTGAAGAACTTCGTATATCTAGTACTGCCCTGGAATCTCCCAAAGCGACCGCGCGGCACCGAGTACAACCTCAAAAATCCCCAATATGCTCACATCTATTCGTGTAATTGTATGTATTGCAATACCTTCTCCTGCGTACCAGAGGTAATCACTGTCCAGCCCTGTACACCGAGCGTCAATGCTCCAGGCAAGTGCGGGGTAAGCTGAAGGCCTCAATCAGGCAGAATCCGACCAGTCAGGCAATACGAAGCTTGTCCACTGACGACAGAACGGCCTGCTTGTCGGTACATGTTGCAAAATCATGCACACCAGAGAGTTAACCAGTGATATAGGCGTAGTACCGCCTTGACAGAAGAAGGCGAGATCTGATATTGTGATTCTTCCCACATCGCCGATCCTCACTGGTAACTCGCCAATATGACAAAGTTACTGTCAAATATGTAAAAACTATCTAGTATAAACCAGGAGATACCTCAACGGCTCAAGATCAAAGAGCTTAGTATAGTACAGTGGTTTGAGTTACGATCAGCCAGATAAGCATTACCTCAATTTATCGAGATCTACATAAGGTAGGCACTCTTATTTCTCTTCATGACGATGACCTAGTCATTGGGACTCAATGATAAACTATCCTGTCAGCGGAACATCATAAGCGACTGACTCGCAAGAGGGAAAGGCATGTCGAGTTGAATTGCGAAGCACCCGGCGTTCTTTTCAATCGAGCGCTTGGTGACCGTGCGTGCTTATTACAGAATGAAGAAGAGACCTAGATATACGGCAAGCCCGCCAAAAGCATTCTCCTACCTGGTATCACAGGCAAACATTTAGTAGGACCAGAGTATGTACTACCTTGGGTTCTATTTCCCTGCCACAAAGTTATGTTCATTCGATCTTTAATAGGCATATCGTCGAAGATTCCATATATCACTAAGTACGGAAGATATGACGTGCATTATTGTTATGAGCCAGCTTCAGCCCACCAAGCTGGTAAAGCTAGCAGAACCTTCGACGACGCAACAGTCCCGTCTCATCAGCAAGAATGCACGATCGCCTAGCGCTATCGACTCAGCGCATCTCAGAAGCTCTGTATTTGAAGATGCAGCAAGAACATGGAAGAGCAAAGAGCATAAGCTGGCTCGCGAGATGGTCTTAATCCATCGTAGAAAGGAGCTTGTCTGTTTAGTCAATCGAGAAGCTACTTATGTTCGCAGACAGCTGGGAATGGAGCTAAGGAGCGACGTCACCTGGTGGAACTCACGTGATGGGACAACGCGGCCCTGCTTTCTAAGGTAAAGCCAGATGGGCGGTGGATCACTGAGAGGAGAAGCTGAGATAACAGATCGCAAGTGCTATCACTTGTTACGTACCTCGACCTCTGCTTTTGCTTCACCAGTCACCATGCACTATCGACATTTGATTGTTTTTAAGTGATTATCCCTCTTGAGTATACAGTCTTCTTTCTTTCCACGCCAATACTACCAGACGAAGAATTCCAATTGTCACCTCGCTGCCTAACACGTGAAGCTACCGCCGCATCTAGGTAGTCTTATCTTGGCCTCCCGCGAGGAGTCGCAGTACAACGCCCAAGCTCCAAAAGCTGTCTTTACCACAAACGAAAGCTTCAGTAACTATATCACCTGAGTACCTGCTTGATTAACTAAACCTTATCGATGTTAGTCTAGAACGGTGACTCTCCAGACCGTCTCCAGACCGTCTTTCAGCGTCTTTCCATCAGACCACGAGTCGGGCTCCCTTAAAGCTTCGAAGAATAAAACAAGATGAGTATGAACGTCTTTCGCCTGTTAGGCGATCTGTCTCACATATCGTCGAAATGCATCTTGATGTGGGCCATTCATCGGAACAAAAGTGCGGAAGGTATGTACAGACACTCCCGCCCCTCACCATAGGGATGGGGACGTGCAACTGACTCTTCGATTCTGAATGGCAGGTGTCTCGCTACTCACACAGATGCTTTATGCTGCTGTATTTGTCACACGCTACCTTGATCTGTTCCGAGGGAGCGGTTGGAGAAGCTTCTACCTCGTTTTCTTCAAGTTCTTCTATATATTCTCTTCTTTCTATATCATCTTTTTGATGATGAAGGTCTACCCACGGACGCGTGAGAGAGAGAGGGCATGGAAGATGGCTCTCGGTTCCATCGTGCTTTCGCTTGTCCTAGCGCCGATTGTGACTCCTATTTTCGACGATAAAGACCTCTTCAAAACCCACTGGTTCACCGAGGTGGGTCTAGCACACTGTGCACACAGAGATCTTGTTGCCCCAATGCTAATTAGAAGTTTGATGCAGATAATGTGGGCCTTCTCCATCATCCTAGAATCCGTATGCGTGCTTCCCCAGCTCCTTCTACTCCGCCAGACTACCGTTCCTACGGTCATTGATTCATACTATCTCCTTGCTCTGGGCTCTTACCGCGCGTTCTACATACTGAACTGGTTTGTGAGAGGGTTTGGCTCCGAGAAACACTGGGATCCGATCGCGATGATCTTTGGTATCCTTCAAACTGCTTTCTACGTTGATTTCGCTTGGGTCTACTATTCTCGTCAGCGCGTCAAGCTTCGAAATGGCGGTGTAGTCGATTCGGAAGATTATAGTAAAAGTTGGATAGTTAACAAGGTGTTCAATATCAAACGGCGACGAGAAAGTCTGGACGAGGAGCAGAACCTTACCGGAGAAGGAGTGGAAGGGGAGAGGGGAGCCGGTGGTGACAGGCCTAGCAACAACCACTGGGGTGCTCGCGGCATTTCCATCTCGGCTGACGATACCTTGGACGAGCACACCCGGCGCAAGCCCGGGGATGCGGATAACGAAGGCTTGGAGGGATTTCTGGAAGATGAGGATGACAGTCTGGACGATCAGACTGATGGGCAGAGCCCATTGCATCACGCACCGGTCACGTCCAATCGCGACTAATAATCGCTGCTGTTGGCGATACATATATAGAAACCCTGTAGCAAGTGGATTGGTCTCCCTTGTTCCAGTGTCTCCTGGCTTTGGAGTGATCAGTTACTGATTCTGGCAATGTTTTCGGGGAGTTATTATGTATAATGGCTCAAGGCGTAATCATCGATCAATGCTATTTTTGATAACGGGCAGTTAGCCTTATCTACTTTTAGGATACTGATGAGATCATGAGAACCCATAGGGGTATTTTGACTGGACCATCAATTTAAAGTAGTGCGGAGATCCATGGTAAGGTCAGGATCTGCCGACTAGCTTGCGATTTAATCTTTTGGTGCAACCTGAAACAAAAACTTGACAGCGCCCAGTGTTTCAGAGTCATTCTGAGCCATTGCTGCGCCAGGGCATAGCCACTGAAAGAAGGGTCCAGTTGCACTTCTACCCATTCAAGATGCAAACAGACGATGCATGAGTCGATACTTGAGAAGGATCCAATGCGTCCCTGGAGAAGGAGAACGCCTTGCAAGGTAGACAATTCTTTCTATTATCGACTTCAAACGTGTTTGCCCCTATCATGAACCCATCATGACGACAGAAAGCGCAATTTACCCAAAATGGACTATTGCTAAAATCTTGGCACCGCCTGCCGAAATCCCGTGAGACCACGTGCGCATGTGTATCCTATTTCGTTCCGATGATTTCAAAGCCCAAAAATGCCAGAAAATAATTCTGGGGGGAAAGGATGACAAATACTCCTTGAAATTAACTACCCAACAGACAAAAAGTCCCATTCTGAATTTATGACGGAACGCTAATCTCGACGAGACAGGCTCAGCTGAGTCGACCTTGGTCTCTTTCAGCGGGTCATCCTTTATTTCTTGAGCAAACAGTTCATGCTCTCTAAGCGCCAGCGCCAGCGCCATCCCGGATATACGGTCGATTGGAAAATGATGACTCGAGCCGCTGAACCGACTGGCAGGAAGCATATCCTCTGGCGCGTATGCGGCATGGTCTTCGTGGGACACGTGGCTCTGAAGGAGGGATGCAGACCACCGGCGAAATAATAATGATGGGAATCTGGGAAGCTGCCACTCATTACTTTTCACAGAAAGCTTGCTAGTCATGCAACCAAGACAGTCAATGATGCGCAATTACGGGAGATTGATTGAGGCTTTGAGCTAGGCTCTGCTTAAAATCTCACCTTCATGGCTCAGGCTTTTGGACTAGTCCACTAACTAGTTTAGCTCAGTCAGATCAGGCGTCTAAGACCTTCTCGGAGCCCACTGGACAAGCCAAATCCTCCAGGGGTTTGCAGCCGCAATTACGAACAAGCGCTTAATGGGCCGCTATCCGTGCATCCTTGTCTGGCTCAGGACATGGACCGTTCCCTGATGGACCTGTCTTTCCTGACATAGTCCAAGTGGGTTTTTAGTAATAATTGCTCCTCAAGTCATGCTGAGCAGTCAATTATTCCGTACTCTGGCCCCATAGCCGTCTAGAAACAAGGATGTAGACTCGCTGTTCTGGAACTTTAGCCCTTTTCCTTCCTTAATTTCTTTTGATTGCACTCATCCTACCATCCGCTTACTGGCATCATCAAGAACGGCCAATTTCTATACTACTCCACTAGCTAGTCAGTCCTTCGAGATCCTTAGCGCTAGCCCCTTTACGATCATTTGACTCCTGAACTGCTGCAGCGGGCCACTAAGCCCTGATGCCATCCAAATGTCATCCTACAGGTTCCCGCCTCCGCTTCCTGGGTGATCCGATGCATTGGGACTTTGCTGCTGCGGGAGCTATCTTTCCCTCGATCAGGGTGGGCCAAGTGCTGATGTCTGCGCCCCGAGAGTTTGGGGGCTGGAATTCTAGCTGTCATGTCATGGCGAGAGAAGATATTGCTTTCCTTTGATAACAATTCGGACCCCATCTTTGGGATAGCCAGGCGCTTAAATGCAGAGCCATCGTCGTGTCTACACCTCTCGTTACGAGCATATTCGTGCGGCACAGTGATAGTTGGCGGTATATCTGATGATTTCTGGAGCTCTTTTGGCCCGTTGACGTGAGAGCTACTCAAATCTGGGCCTGCCTTGCAAGGCATTTCGACCACAGCTTGATCATCCCGACTGGCGTATATGAACCTGGATCAGACTTTTGTTGGACGTTCTTCTCGTCTGCAACCCATTTTATGCCTTCATTTCGTTCCTAGAGAAATATAATAAGCTGTTGCGCAGAAGTGGTTACTTTGAAGTCGTTGTGGCGGGCCTTTATATTACTTTCAGTCGACCGTCCCTCGTGCTTCTTGCCGCCGACACCTGTTTGTCCTCCAGCCTGTTTCATCAACCGTTTCATCTTTTCTCGCCACGCATCAGTTCATTCGCTCTCGTCCTGGTGTAAGCGCGTGCCCAAAGTTTGCTCTATGTATCCTCAAACTCCTTCCGGGTTCGCCGGCCAAATGCCCTATGGCCAGGCCACTCCAGGAAGACAGGGCGATGAATTGGATGAATACTATGAGGCACTACCACCTCAATGGTCCGGGGTTGAAACGGTAGGCCAATCTTCCGTGACATCTGTCCGGTGTTTCAGCTAGCTGACCAAACATTTGCGCTGCTTAGTCTCCATATTTAGCAATGAACCAGCCAAACTGTACCACAGCAGCTGCATATCCGTCCGCCGCTATCTTAACACCAATCAGTCTCCCAGACAGCTCCTTTGTCCATGCAAGACCGAGCCCAGTTGTCAGTCATCGTTCGCAAGAATATCAGTACAACCTACCCGAAACAGTGCCGCACCATGGGCTTGGGATCACCGCACCGTTTCCAAGTAATTTCCCCCGAACGGTAACGGCGGGTCTAGGACACGCTGTAGATGAATACGACTTTGGTCATGCTGAAGCTACACTGTCTCCACATCCGCCTCCAGCGAAACGAGTTCGAAGAGGCAGCTCGAAAGGCGCAAGTTCGAGTCGTGAAACCCCAGTCACAATACTGCCTCATCCTGAGGGACTCCAGCGACTAGAGCAAGAACGGCGGCAAAGCCATATTGATCTTCATCCCCACCACAGGTCTCGGGCTCCCGGCAGGGGCCGGCGCGACCCGCAAGCGGAAGAAGAAGATGCTTTTGTCGAGGGACTACGAGAACAGAACCTGGCATGGAAAGTCATCCGGGAGATGTTTCGCGAAAAGTTCAACAAAGACGCATCGGAGGCACGCCTGCAAATGCGGATGCTGCGCCGGCGCAAAGAACGGCTAGCACGGTGGGATGAGAATGATGTGAGTATGTGTGTCGTGACCCTCTCCGTTATTTTGTCGTAATTTATTATTAACCGAGTGCTTCAGATCCCACTTCTCATAAAAGCTCGGGACCACTGGGAACGTGAAAAGTATCATTTCATTGCTCAAAAGGTGAGATCATTCCACCTGTTATTCATGGCGTACCCATACATGTTCTGCGAGCTAAAATTCTGATGCAGATGAGGGACCTAGGCGCTAGAAGGACATACACCTCGCAGCAGTGTGAGGCTCAACTTAAAGACATGGAAGCTGAAAGCCGAGAACGCGCCGATGCCTCGTTGTCGCAGATGACAGAGCGCTCACGGACTCGAAAACGAGTTAGGGCCAACAGCGACACGGGGCCATACGTTTGACGATTTCCCTATTTTCTCTTTTTGGCTGACGTCCACAATCATCGTCCAGAAGCGCAATGATTTGATCTTCCATAGTGCCGCATTGGGTGGCATTTCTGATTAGCAGGGTTTAGCGCTGCGCATAGCATTGCGTTCTCATTGCCTCACTGGCAATCTCTCCTCCTTTGCATATTTTTCCTTTCGCCAATTTTTTTCATGGACATATACTTTTTATACAACTCATGTAGAGACATGTCGATACGAAATTGACCATGAGTACGTCTACTGGTCATACGAATACATAAAACTTTCCAAATTTCATGCCTTCCAAAATAATTTCCAATATTTAGTCTCGAGGATGGCCAGAGAGGTCGCGGGCGGTCACTGTAGTACCCCAGGCGTGAAAACAGCGCCGGATGGACTCCGTACGCTCACATGTACAAATTCCGAATCCTGCTTTTGGAGAATCGAATCTAGATCCTGCTGAGAATCATCAAATCCTCTCACAAGCCTAATCAGGCCCCATGCATGCTTAGAACCATCTGCGGCTAAAAATCAGGTCCAAAGAGACAGACAGCGCATCCGTCTATAATTGCGAAGAATTTAAGACTACGCCATGGCAGTGGGGGCTATATGTCTGGATTAACTACGCACCAGTCAGCATGCGGCGTAGGCGCTTAACCTGCAGGACGTGCAGCAGACCCGTGCAAAGGAGTGGTGAGCCGGGCTCAAGTTTCAGACATGCGGCTAAAGATGGTGTAAGAGCTAGGGATGTTAATACGGGCTAGGCTATTTAGTCTTCAGCTTACATAGGACGTACAGATCCAGGGACACGGACATATTCGGACATGGGGACTTATTTCCGTTCTGGGATGTATGCGGGTGGTATGGAATCGTCTATAGTCAAATGTAATCGCTAGTGCAAAGATAGGCGCGTCGAGATTTATTCGCTTCAACGATATCGTTTTTAAGCGTGTCGGTTATGTCTAGCCCCCACTTCTGAAGACCAGTATTGCTCAAAGATGGTCAGCTAGATTGAGCAGTTTCTTCGTCCGATTCAAAGTCCTCCTCGGTTACTGGGAACGTGCACAAAGCGGCAACGCCTCCCAATCCGTCCAGTCTTCTCCCGCTCTCATGGTCGGAGCTGAGTACACGCACTTCGCCCCCCTCATCGTCCCGGACTCGGTCAACAAGTGACACCCATCGCTTGCGCTCCGCCACGTCCTGGGACCGGAACAATCGATTTGAGATAATGAGGACGCCGCCCCCACGGCCCACAGCCCCTTGGTTGACTGCCGACTCGACCTCACGAGGTCCGTAGACGGCCTTGTTACTCTCCTTCCGGAGATGTCCAAGAAAGTCGTCCATCAGTTTGGTCTCGCGGGCATATTTGGTATCCGCAAGGATGGTCTTCACTGCAGGCGATTGCAGAACCTCCGCGAGGGAATGCAGATAGCCTGAGGCTGAGTGGACAACGACAATACTCGGCAATAGTCGTTTGAGGGCAGGTGTGGTCGTCGAGGCAACAGACTGGATGTATTTCTGAAATCCGGCAGCGACAAAACCAGGCGAGGCGAGAAGAACGGGCTTGAGGGGCTCGTTACTGGTGACAGACGTAGCGCTGGTGTTGAACTCCATCTGTCGGAGAAGAGTGTCCAGTGTGATCTGGTAGAATTTTGACATTCCCTGGTTCGCGTAAGTAACTATTTCTTTAGCAGTGCATTAGCACATGGCTGAAGGGAGTACCTTATCATGATCCCCGCCTCCGCCGCCTTGTCGTTTTCGAGGAACCGACATCTCGACCTTCTGCTTCAAGATGGTTTGAAATTGCCCAATGAAGCAAATGTGGGCCAGTCCCTCCTGCATAACAACAGCGACCGCTTCCGCCCTCCGTTTGCCGCTCTCGTCAACGGCATCCTGGAGCATCTGTACAGCAATGCTGTCCCACCCTACTCCTTCCCCATTCGCACCAATCTCTTTTTCCAGGGTGAAATTGCGATTCAGCTCCAGATCCAATGTATGATGTTGTCCGACTTTAGTGTGCGGTGTCTCGTTCACGATTGTTCCTCCGACATGCAGTTGTGAGCTCTGAGGGTCGAAATCCAAGCTTTTCACACGGATTTCCAGCGTTAAGTGGACTCGGGACGAAGATGTTGCACCGGTGTCGTGTGTCGTCGTGACGCGACGGATTGCGCTTGCGCGAAGAAGGTCACCGGGTCTGATCAGGTTGTAGGCGTGCCACTTAATGCAGGAGCCGTCAGAGCAGGTAAGTGTCCGATAGGGATCGGGTCGCATACCATATCCTCCGGCTCTTCAGGACACAGAGTGACTGTGCCTGAGCCACCGTGCTCTATCTTGTTCTTTATTAGACGCATTTGACCAGTAGGTGTATAGATGTGGGATGTTAGAAAAATAGATAGCCAATAAGTATGTATATCCAAGATATGGGTGTTTTAAGTCGTTGCGATGAAAGTATACTTTCCCGAAGGAGATTCTTAGGTCTCGATCAAGCCAATAGTAAGAGAGACACTGTCGCCTTCGCAAATCATGAAGAGACCGACGTAAAGTAGAGAGATGATTCAACTTCAAGCGCCAAGGCAGCTTCAGGAGATGCGGGACGGTTCCTGAATAGGACTAGCGCGGCTCCTTATCGATAAGAAATATGGAACCCTAAGCCCTGAGACCGTCAGTTGCGCAGATAGATGAGTGATGTCATCCATGGTATATAGTATGTCGATGATAGCAGATCACTTCAGGAGTGTCTCTAGATCGTGAAAACAGCCTGCTTCCAGGTCAAAGTAGTGGGTGCAGGAGAACCAAGGCTGGTCTTCTCAAACAAGCTTTCTCAGTCTTTCTTGACATTGAACCAAGCCAACTCAATGCCGTTATCCTTTCCTGGACCCCGACAAAACCTGCCCCACGGTAGTTGCCCCCCACCACAAGACTAACACCCATCAGGAAGCTCGTAATGGCATTTTGACTTTCGGAGAGGGAAGCAGTAACGGTCTCCAAGACTCCACATCGTCATGGACTCACAATGGATGGCCAGCGACATAAATAACGATCCAAGTTCGCGCAGCTATGTGTGATTTTCCCAGCCATCCGCTCTATCTCTCGACCGATTGTTCCTTTTGCCACCATACTACTCCGTAGTAACTGCAACAATGGCCCCTCTATCTCTCCAGTCCACCTACAAAATGGTCTCGGGATATGAAATCCCGGTTGTTGGGTTCGGCGTGAGTAATAAGTCCCAGTGTTATAGTTTCCACTATGAACCAAACCGCTGACACAAGGATCGTAAGGTTTATCAAACGTATGTTCAAATTTTGTAGCAAGTCATCACTCAAGGATTGAACACCATACCTAATCTGTAAATGGAAATGCAGACCACCCGAGATCACCGAGAAGGTCACGCTCAAGGCACTGAAAACCGGATACCGCCATGTAGGTGCCATGAGAACCGTTGAAGCACCAGGCAAATTGAGGCTAATCGGCCGTGCTCCCCTAGATTGACAGTGCAAAATTCTATGCGAATGAGAAAGAATGTGCGGAGGCTATAAAGAAGTCTGGAATTGACCGTTCGAAGATTTTTTTCACCACAAAGGTTCCCCTGACTTTCATGTCCTATGAAAAGGCTAAGGAAGCCATTAAGCAAAGTCTCGCTGCTGCCGATCTTGGTTACATCGATCTGTAAGCGAATAACCCCGGTCTTCAACGATCATGACGCCCCTGGCTAACTAAGGGCAGAGTCCTGCTGCACTCGCCCTACGGTGGGAGGGAGGGTCGCCTTGGTGCCTGGCGCGCCCTCGTGGAGGCTCAGAAGGCAGGCCACATTCGTTCCATTGGCGTCTCCAACTATGGCATTCACCATCTGGAGGAGTTGGAGGAGTACATTAACAGCGGTGTTGGAGGCCAGATTTCCGTTGGACAGTACGAGATTCACCCCTGGTGTGCGCGAGAGGACATTGCTGCCTGGCTGAAGAAGCGCAACGTTGTTGTTGAAGCCTATTCTCCTCTTGTTCAAGCTCAGCGCATGGACGAGCCTGTATTACAGATCTTGGCCAAGAAGCACAACAAGACACCAGCTCAGATCCTGATCCGGTGGAGTCTGCAAAAGGTACCTTCCTTCTTTTGTTTCTATTATCGATTGTGTCTGTGGCTAATGCAGTCTTGCAGGGCTATGTTCCACTTCCGAAGTCTGTGACCGATTCCCGTATCGTTGAGAACACGCAGGTGTTTGACTTCGAATTGTCTGGCGAGGACATGGAGAGTCTGAACACCGGCATTTATGCCCCTGTTTGCTGGGATCCTGCTAAAACTGTTCCACTGTAGAGCGATCCCTTAAAACACTGGAAATAACAGGAAGACGACGGCAGGAGGCGAAAAAATACATACATGTCTATCTCGCTCATATATACAGCACCTTAGGTAAATGCAGGATTTTGATGGGCAACAATGATCAAATCTCAAAAAAAATTGTATCTCTGCGTTGAATTGAGCACTTTGTAAACTTAAGCAGTGGAGACTGCCACGGGAAGTACAGAGTAGGAAACTACTGTTGATCTGGCCGGGATAACATATCACCGCAAGCCAAAGATGTCAACAATAGGTCTCTCCGCGTTCTCAATAATCTATCACAGAGGTATTGCCATCAACAATAACCGAGAGAAGCTTGCAAGTTACGATCTTCAAATGCACCCTACATCTTGATATAACTGAACCTACCTGTCATCACTCTACCATGCCCGATCAGCCGCGGCGCATTATTCTGGAAAAATCCAAAACAGTGCGCCGCCGGTATCAGCGCAGCAACAAACGATTCCAATTTACAGATTCACAGATCGAACGCATCGAACGCGAAGAGGAACGCGAAGCACGAGCTAAAAAGCTTAGAGAAAAGGAGAAGAAACGCCAAGCCAGTAAGAAGAAAAAAGCCGAAAAGGAAGCTAAAGAACGAGAAGCACGAAGACGACTCGGTTTCCCTGATCCTCATGCTCTCCCCGTTCCTTCCAGTCAGCCATTGCTTTCCAGATTTCTCAAGAAGCCTGCAGCGAAACCGGATACAGAGAGCGAGACTTGTGAGGAGACGGAGCTAGACAGCCATAGTCAGGGGAGTGTCGCGACCGAGATTGACGACAGCCTGCTCTCGGATTTAGATGTCGCTGCCTTAGACGATCAGACGGCTGCAGGGGTATCAGAGCCAGATAATCCTACAGCACGCGATGATGGCAAGGGCCATGTTTGTCGTACACAGGGCGATGATGACGAGTTCTCCGAATGCTCGATTTTCTACGACGAAGACATCATCAAGGAAGTGGAAACAATTGCTACTGCACAAGATACGGCAGGCAGGCTGGGGGAAATAGATCAGGCGACGAGAGAGCCATGCAAACCTGCGTTAACAATAGGAGAATCATTCCAAGACGACACGGCGATACTCCTTGAAGAATTTGGCCATGAGTTCGGCAGCGATGAGGAATTCGAACAGGAATTGATTCGACTCGCTACTGTATCCGTTGGAAACCCATCTTGAGTTGACTATACGAATATTGGATATTCAATATGCGATTGGGAACATTGTCTACTTTGGTGGATTCAATGTACAAACCCCGTCGGACAAGTTCATCCTTGATGGACAGACTGCACTGGAACCATTGTTGACAATCACTGACAATAATAATCCTGCAGACTCGCAGACTCGCGCAGCTCACCACTAACGACAGCCGTTTGATCCGACCCGACGGCCGGCCGGGCGGCCAGACCCGCACTGATCGGATCGGGATGCCCCTCTTGTCGGGTTGGGCGGTGATAAGCTGGCGGCGGCTCAACCCCACCATGGTAGCAGGCATTCCGACGAAATCAATTATTCTGGACGAGAATTATGAAGGCAGCTTTGCACGAACAGACATTATGTGGTAACAATAGTGATGGCCACTTGGACAACCGCCTCGTTGTGCTGAAAACTCTATATCGGAGCGCGTTATCGATAAGATAGGAGAACGAAGCCGAAGAAGTAACAAGATAACAGTCTGTTGACGTCAATGCGGAATAAAACATAGCGTATCGGCTCGTTTTGTTTGTGAACTTCTTGGAGATATCTCATTGCTATCTATTTCTTCGCATTCAGTACATTCTAACGCTATTGCAAACACTTTCTCGCCCTTCCTCACATTTTGTACTGGCGTTGCTGCCCCGAGATATACCCACCGTTTACTTCCAGTCTCAACGAATCGAAAAGATGCCGTGCCTCGAAGTATGTGGGCACTCAATCAACTATGCTGATTCCCATCCCAGTGGAGCTCCCAAAGACGGCGCGACCATTGTCTTCATACACGGCCTTGGCTCCTCCCAAAATTACTACTTTCCTATTCTCCACCATCTGACTCCTAAGCACCGCTGCATCACCCTCGACACCTATGGTTCTGCCCGCTCCCCGTACACCGGCCAGCCCATCACCATTGCTACCATTGCTTCGGATGTCATTGCGGTGCTGGATGCGCTAAACATCCCCAAAGCCGCCGTCGTCGGCCACTCGATGGGCGGACTGGTCGTGACGCTCTTGGGCGCAGAGTACAGCGATCGCATCACGGCTGTAGTAGCCGTGGGTCCCACCCATCCCTCGGAGACTCTAGCATCCACGATGCGCCAGAGGAGCGACACCGTGCTAGAGGGTAGGTTGCTTCCATAGGCCTAACTTCACTGTCAAAATGCACAACGTGTGAGCTAACCGAAAATAGTCGGAATGGAAGCAATGGCCAACACCGTTCCCAACGCCGCTACAGGCTCGCAAGCCTCCCCGCTCGCCAAAGCGTTCATTCGCGAGCTCCTTTTAGGCCAGAACCCGAAGGGCTACGCCACGCTATGCCAGGCTATTGCCAAGGCCCCCGCGATCGACTACTCGTGCATCACTAGGCCGTTTCTGCTCATTGCGGGCGAAGAGGATAAGTCTGCGTCGTTGGAAGGGTGCAAATATATCTTTGACCGGGTGTCCAGTGAGACGAGGAAGATGGAGGTATTGCCCAAAGTCGGTCATTGGCACTGCATCGAGGCACCGGATCTGGTAGGTGGGATGATTGCGGGGTTTATTGAGAGATTGTGATGTGCTGTAGAGTTATAGTACCTTGGGGGATATTGAACGGATTGTCCTTGAGTTTAGACGTGAAATTAGTACTTTAGTGCTCCTGATAACGCAGCTGTATCAATCCATTATCAAGCTAGAAGCAATACAGGCGACATGAGCGCAATTTCGGCAAGTTCAGATCAAAACGGCATAGGCTCAAAGCTGGTTCCAACCAAAACGAGAATCCATCATCGCATTACGGTATCACGGAAGAACACACAAATATATATACACAAATCCCGGCTATTGTCAGACTCCAGTCCATTCCATTGGCCTACGCCCGGTCCGCCACCAGCTTGACATCATATTCAAGCTCAAGTCCAGCTTGAGGGTCATCCCTACGAGGCACAAAGTCCACGATCAGCGAGTCCTTGACGGCAAACACCGAGTCATTCGTCAGGTACTTGTCCTTGCGGTCGAAGATCTGTGTGGTGAGTGGCTTGTAGCCTCCATGCGTAGCCTGCAGTGCAGTTAGCCCAAGCTGCCTCCTTGTTAGGTTATTCGGGAAAAGTGAGTCCTCACGATGATGTGGATATGGGCAGGGCGGTAGGGGTGTCGGTCCATGAGCTCGAGTAACTTGCCTGCGGGACCTGTACGTCACTCAAGATCAGCGTTTGCTCTGCCTCTGCGGGGATAGCGGTAGCGGTGGACTAAAATACGTACCGTCATTCGGCACAGGATACGGCGTCGGACGCAGGCAATAAAAGTAGTACCGCCCGTCGGCATCCGTCTTGAACTTCCCGCGCAGGTTGAACTCCTCCTGGTTCGGATCCTGCTGTTCATACAGCCCGTTCGTGGACGCCTGCCACACCTCCACCGTCGCGCCAACGAGCGGCTTCTTTGTCTGGAAATCGATCACGCGGCCGTGCATGAACACCATCTCGCCGTCCGGCACGTCCTTGACGATGTTGTCACCGTTGTTGCGGTAGGGGGTGTCGGCGCGGAAGAAGGGGCCCAGGATGGCGGTTGCGGTGGGTGCGTCGGTGGCCTCTTCAGCGAGCTTGAAGGTGATTTCGTCGACGAGCCTGTGTACACACAGCAAGCGATACGATTAGTACTAGAGTCAGGGACAGTGAAATAGGGATATGTGGAACGTACGACTCAAGCCCGATCACGTCGCAGACGAGCTGGCCTTCATTGCGCTTGTCGTCGCTCATCTGGCCCGCCCAGTTGAGCAGCTTGACGCCGGCCATCCATTCGTCGACAGTGAGTTCGTTCTCGCGAGCAAAGTCATGGACATGGCGGATCAGGCTGGCCATGACCTTCCGGAAACGCGGGTTGGTTTTGGGACCCATCGCGTTGATGACATTGTCGGTGAAGTTGGGGTCGAACCGAGGATTAGCCATGACTGTAGGAAGCCTCAAGGATCGTATCCGGAGAGAGGTTGGGTATATACTGAATCAGAGATGGAAGAGAGGGCGTGGATGGGATTCAATAACGGTCAACGAAAGGAACAGTCTCAAGGATTATCATCCAGCTTATATTCCAACAAGATCAAAATCAACGGAGTATGATTGGAAATACTCGCTTTCCGGACGGCAATGTATGCCCCAGATCCTAAGAAGACCCCGCAAATGATGAGAGTCCGTCAATTGCTATAGAATGCCGGTTCACCACCATGATAGTTAATTGGGCAGTACGATGATTGGCCATTCAGAATTGGTAGACATCGCAATCGGAAGCAGGCTAAAGCCAACAATCTAACTGCCCTTTGTTCCGTCCTGTCATTTGCAATGCAGAAACGTATGACACCTGTCGGATAGGGAGTAGAGAAGAATGGCGACGATCCGATTTCCCCGCAATCCGTCGGATGTCGGATAGTCGCGCTTATGTAAGGGCCCAGCATTAGTTAACTATCCCCCGCACCGTCAGGTGATTTTGTTATCATTATGCATTAGAGTACCTCGCTACCTTCTCGTGTGTCCAACTCAGGGCTAATTTCTTTAATCACCTGGTGTTAAATTAAGCATCTTACATTCAGTTAAGATCAGTAAGACTTGATCACCACAGGATCGTGGAGATCATGCATTTCTTCTACCCCCTCTCCCATCCGATCCTGCTCGTGGACCCTTAGGAATGCCTTTCTGAAGCAATTCCGACGGCAATTCCTGTATAGTTTGCCCATGTTCCCAAATCTTCCCCAGCCCACATTTCTTTTCCACGACAACATCAAAGAATTCAACTGGAATAATCTTCTGCGACGTACCATCTCCAGTCTCTTGATTCCCCTCTATATCCACGCCCTCACTCAGGATAACCCCATTCTCACTGCGCCAGAACGGGCACCCCGCAGCCAGTGCCTTCTTGAGGTCAATGTAGATCAGAATCTGCGCATCTCGCCTCATCCCTGAGATTACCCGCCCATCGTTCCGGCCCGAGGATCTCATGGCTGAGTGCGCTGTCCCGTCTACATGCGTAGGTAGCACGGATTCCAGGGAAGGCCCTGTTGCAAAATGAACCTGGTTCCGGCCCATGCACCGAAGCCCGCCGGACTGGAGAATGGCCGGCCAGACGGCATGGTATGTCCCGTGCACAACAGTGTCTGGTAACCTCGACTCGTCTCCCAATGTCAGTCTCTCCAGAAACGCGGCCGCTTCCACGCTCTTAATGCTGTGTCCCTGCGTCGCTCGGATCAGGAAATGAGACGGGTCTGTATCGTTCACGGCGAGTGCCGTCGCCGTAGCGTTCTCTTGTCCCGCGCTGGTGGTGGGTACTTGCGTCGTAGGCATGAAGCTCGATTGTGTTTCGCAGGCGGGTGTTTCCCCTTCGCGTACCCCAGGCGTCGTCGTGTCGCTTATCGCATTCGCCGAAGGGATGTGTAACAGCGCAAACCGCTTTTTTTCGGACGAAGCGACTGCGTGAATGATTTCAGGAAGGGTAACCTTGAGAGATTTTATTTTTTTCCATGCTAGCTGTGCGAGGTATGTTCATCAGTCATACACCCTATTGAATGGTTCCGTCTGTGGTGCATACCACGTCCGCCACGTTGGCATACCCTTGAGAATCCATTTTCAGCCCTTCCTTTTCTGCTGCATGACGCAAGAGCAGACTTAAGGCTTTGGAAATGGTCACTTCACGACTCTGGTTGCCTCCTCTGCCCCTGCGTTGATTTTGCGACATTGTGACGGACTCGGCAAGCGGAGAGGAGGGGTATGTCGTCAATGAACGGAGGTTCCGGGTTCGGCGTAGAAAAATGGCGTTGAAACAGATTTGTCGGTTAATTGTGCTAGCTTTTGTACTGTATCTGAATCCCGCAGCGTCAGTAACTGACTCGATAGAAGACTCATCCAGAGGCTGAGCTCACGCGATGACTCAAAGTGGTTCCAGCGTGACTGGGCAACTGGGTTCTGTGCGGTGAGATAGGAAAAGCTATGAGAACCGAGTCCACGAGAGCGCCTCAAGCTGCAGGAAAATATCTGCCATCAGCATCAGCGAGAACGGGAATTTGGTTCAAGTTTGGCCATACAATAATGATACACAGCTCGACGATCTCAGCTGTGCAATAGACTAAACGGAGAAATTTGTTTGACATCATCGGCGGACGATAATATTCCCCGACTGACCCACCGGACTAGGAAAAAAAAAGAAGCTAAGGCAGCAATAGTCTACTCCGTCCGATTTGATATTTCGTGAACCGTAGTCTTGGCCAGTTCTTGATTCTCAGCTTATGATAAAAATGCTTGAGGAAAGAGTACATATAGCGGAAAATGTAGATATAGATTAGCGAAAATGCCTAATAACCTCATGCCTCCATAAATGGGTATCGAAAGTAATAGAAAACTATACCACCATCCGTCGTGAACTTCTAAAACCATCCTCATTGCAAGCCAGATATAGCGAACGAATCCCTCAGGCTATAGGTGTAGGTCATGGTCACCGGTCGCAACTGCAGCTGCATTCTGCGACGGGGCAAACGTTATGCTTTGCAAACCATTCTCTGGCGTGATGTGCATGGAAACCATGATTGCAATTGATACAGAAGACGATAAATCTGCGCATGACGTCGGCCTCTGTGGGTTTACGCTGCTCCTGACCAGCATCAGCGGCGATACAGGCCCTGGACATTGGATCTGGGGAGCCCATCCAGAGCGTGCAAACTCCACAGCGGGGCATCGGCCGTCCACACCTAGCGCAGACCATTCCTGACATAACAGCTGTACCCAAGGGATTGCCAGCGGTTGGATGCACCACTTCCCCTGTAGCTGAAGGAGAAATTTGGGAAGATGCATCGTGTTGGGTGAGTGGTCGAGTGCAATAGTTACAAGTCAAACTGACTTGTTGTCGAGGCGGCTCGATGAGTTTCCGCCCGTCCCAGGTGACGGCAAACTTGCGCGAGCCGACGTCGAATCGCGCTCTCTCTAGTTGGAGTTTCCATGAGTTCATCTGCCAGCGATAGGTTTCACGCCATGCTTCATACCGAGCCCTGCCCCAACCACTCCTGATAAAGCGTGGGACTGTGTGGCTCATGGCTAGAACTGGCGTCTGAACATCATTGAATTTGTTGATATAAGATTGGAAAAGGTCCAGGGCAGAGTGGCCAAGCCCCGTGAGAACTATACCTTCAATGTCGCCTTGCCGGATGACTTCAGCAATGGTTTCCTTCAAGTATCCGGAGAGTTCCGCGTCAGGAAGCCAACGTAGAGCTACTTCGACGCGGTACCTCAGGGGAAGCGTAGACTCGTGAATAACGGACTTCCAATCTCCTTTACTCACGAGCGCCAATATAGCTCGTGCATAGGGGTCTGTGAGTTCCTTGGCGATCTCCGCGCATGTCTCTTCCCAATCTGAATCGGTATCGCCTTTGGCCGCACCTGCGATAGCCATGGCAAGAAGCTTATGCGCCTGGGTGGGCGTGTGGCTGCGCAACGCCTGATACGCCAGTTTGGCCTCGTCCTGGAAGACGGCCAACGCAGCTGCTTTAGTATGCTGATTGTCGGCAGAAAGTTTTTTGACAAGTTCGTCCAATTCACGATGAGATTGTGCCGCACCACAGAGACGCAAGCAAAGTCGTCGATGTTCCGGACGAGCTGTCTGACACCCTTGGGATTCGGGCAAGCTTAATTGCTTCCGCACAATCTCGATGATACTTTCGCTGATCGATGGAGACTCGTCCCCACTTGGACCGATCTGCCGGCTGTCATAACTTTGACCTGCAAGTGATTAGCAGACCGCATAATCAGCAAAGACGGAAATATCATACCTAGATCATTGTTCCAGATGTCGTACACCCCTACGTAATTGAAATCCAAGCCGTTTATGACCATTGACTGATCAGACGAGTCTGAACGTGCGCCTGTATCGCCTGTCAGAGAAAATATACTGATGTTATCGTAAACAACTACTCACGTTCCACCCAATCCCAGAGCCACTGAAGTTGAGGGTCATCTGTTAAAATGCGCTTGTTGCGCGTTTCGTCGAATAGGTAGCCTTCCTTGCACCGCAGTCTGTTTACGGTCAATAACGCCAAGGCTTCCTCTGCAGTAAGAGATTGACCCAGAGTTCCCAGTGATAAATTTCGCTCTCGAGATTCACGACTGGAGAGAGGATCTTTGACGCGGGCGTCTGATCGCGCAGCTCGGCCTCCGTGCGACAGCTTTCTCTCTTCTAGGGCTGAGAGATTCGCCTCACGAATGCTCTCAATTACTTCTGAGACCTTCGTCCGATGCCCGAATGCGGGCCGTAGCTCAGTGAAATCGAGATGATTCTCAGAGATACCGCGGACCAGAACACCCTGAGAGGATAGCCGCACGGGCGGGGAGGGAGGCTGTACCGTAACCAGGCTGATCCGGCCATTTCCAGCTAATGTTATAGCTGTGGGCTCGCTGGAAGTCCTCAGGTTTAGAAAGTCGAACGCCACAACTCTATCTGACTCCCTGCAGCCCCGGGTGGGATGATTGAATGGGCTGAGGACATCGCGGATCGATTTCGTATAAATTTGTTCTGGATAGTTATGGAAGGATCCTTCCCCGAGGGTCTCGTCCATGGACGTGCGATACTCCTCTGACAAGTACTCTTTGACGATGTCAAAAGTTTTGAAGCAGCCAGTGTTCGAAAGCGCACCCAGACAGCCTCTTTTTGTCCTCGAGAATCGCAGACTCCAGAGAGATGTTTTGGGACCGAAGACATTCTTGAATTCAAGAGCTGGGCCCGGATGTCCGGACTCCAGCATATTCGCACCCCCAGTGACATTAAACCGGGAGCTGGCCCGTCGGTCCCAGATGCAGATGGTAGGGTCGTTCGTCGGATAACAGGATGCAATATAGTTCTCATCAAGCGAGTCGATCGCGAGATTGTGTACGCATCGCGTGGGAAACTGGAGAGACGGATTGCCGGGACCCTCTGTAAG